AAATGGAGTATTTCTCTGCAATTACAAACTGTAAACAATCGTGGTATCAAAACAAGGCTAACACTTGTGAGATTCCATCAGAGGTGTAAATATTACACCAGATGTTACTGTGTGAAAGTTACTGAGGCTGGAACACAGAAAAAGTAAGATCTTTTCCTTCACCTAATTTATTTATTTATTTTTTAGCATATAAACTCTTTAAAATGTGCTTTTGTTCACATTTTAATCCACTAAGTCAGTAATAATCAACATATAAACATCATCTGTGCAAAGATGTATGCTTCTGAAGTGAAACAGTGAAAAATGACTGCACTTTTAATAAATACATATTCAGGCATTCTGCAGTTTGTCCAATTTTGGAAAACTTTGGACACCATGTGTGCTGCCATACAGCAGAAATGATCCCCAGCGGCCTTTTATTATCACACTAAACCTTGAAGAAGGCTAAATCTTGCATTGGAGTAAGTAGTTCGTATCTCTCCCACACGTTTCATTAGATATTAGTGAGTATCAGAAGCATGCCATCTAGTCTAACCTCCCTGGTACCTCTCCTAGCCTCTGCAACATGGGCTTCCTCCCATCTGTAGGGTTGCAGGGAGACCTAATGCTTGCTTCACCTTTACATAATATCACCCCTTATCATAAAACTGAGTGACTTCATGTCTGTCACGTTCCTGGGTCTATTGACCCAGCGTTTTGAGGTTTAGTTTATTTGGATGTTATGTTTAAGTTCTTTAGGTTATCTGAGCTCATTTGTTTATTTCAATTCCCCTTGTGTCTTCTACAGCTGTGTTTTAGTCTCCCTTTGCCCTTTATGTGTTCAAGCTGTATGTCTTATGTCAAGTGTCTATTGTCATGTCTGCGTCGCATGTTTCCTGTTTTATTTTGAAAGTCTGTGTCCTATGTCAGTGTAGTCAGATCTGCTTCCTTTGTCTCCTCATGTCAGTCTAGTATCAGCTGTTTTCCCCATGTGTTTTCACTCCCCCTAATCACCCTTGTGTGTATTTAGTCTGTGTGTTTCTGTTCATTCTTTGTCAGGTCGTCTGTTGTTCACGGCATGTTCTCCATACCATGTTTCTAGGTTTTTCCATGTTCTTTGTTTAGTTCTCCCAGTTTAGGTTTATGTTAATTTTGCTTCGGTTTGCCTTACCCTTTGTTTTTACCTTTTACCGGCCTCATTAAACGGCTCACCTTTTGTTAACATTCAAGTTTTGTTCCCTGTTCCTTGGAGTCTGCGTTTTGGGTCTTTTTTGTCAACCCCTACAGTCTGCTTTGGCCAGATTGTGACAATGTCTAATTTTTACAAACATTAACTGAGCACAAAAAGTGAGACAGTTAGTGCTTGGTCATTTTTTTCTCTTTGTTGTAAACATGCTTCTTGGCAATAAATCTTATACTGCTGGAAAGCCTGTTTATTTCCCCTCAAATGGTGTCACATTTGTAAGGAAAATATGGGTTGTGGCCATGAAAAAGTAGGAGCCTCAGTAACATGTGGAAGAACCATACACAGCCACAACAGCCTGGCACCTCCTCCTCATGCTGGTCACCAGCAGTGTGTGACTGAGGTTGCGTTGGTCACTGTGTTAAGTGGAGTTGAAATCAGCCATCAACATGTGTGGCCTTGTTTTGTTTGTTACATTTTTGGAAAAACCAAACTGCAGGTACAGAGAGTGTTTCAACAACAGCATGTCATCGATATCTATGATTAACTACTTATTCCAAGACCAAACCAAGTTCCCAAATAATATACTAAAAGATATTCTGAGTGTAGATAACATCCGAGATGTGGGGCCTAAATACCCCCATTATGAAGTTTTACCAGAGTATTGCACTCAAGCTTGTATCTTGTTCTGACTTCCACGAGTTCATTTTTAGATCAGATTTATCCTCAAGCCCCAAACACAGTCATTTTATCCTGTTTTCCTACAACAGAAGTTTTCTACACTTACACGACACATTTTGACACACTGAATGCTTTTATTTTCAAACGTGTCAATCCAGGAAAGCCAAATGGAAAACATAAAGTATAGATTTGATTTGAACAATAGAGTCAGCATCTAAGTAATCAAAAGGTTTTTAGCCCATGAAGCAGTTCAGCAAACATGTAAAGCAGCAAAAATGCACTTTAGGTAGTAAAGTGTTTTAAATAACCAATTACTGATGAAAGACTCACCCTAGTTTCCTTAAGTTAATTTATTTTATTCAGCCAGAAAGGAAAAATAAATCATGAGGAATACTTTAAACTTTATATAAAACACTCATGGAGAGGTGTGAACATAAACCAAACAGCCAACAGGTGGTGTCTACTAAGTGACAAATGGCGCCATCTTGTGGCCTCTTTCTGTCACTATAATTCATTCAAAGCTTGAATTATGGAATTTGTGGAAAATGCTTCACCTGTAAAAGTTTAAAAGTCACCAGTGACATTTTTCCCCAGCAGAACGTTCAACAGCTTCATCAGAATGAACCAAAGTCGATGACGTCGCAAGAGTCAGAACACAGAGCTACCAAGAAAATCCATGACGTTCATCTCTGCATCATTTAGTTTGGATGTAGTTGGTGGAGAAATATCATTAAACAGTTTGCTGCGTTCCTCACAGCACTCAGTGGACACTGGGCTTGGACACAGTCAAATCAGTATGTGGGATAGCTGGCTGCTCAAATAAGTGTTCTCCTTTTTCATACCAGGCTCATCCTCCAGCTGTGATTCCTCCCCTGTTCCCTTTTTTTTCTTTGTCTACTGTAGTTATTTTATAAACACAAAATTAGCTCAGGTTCAGAGAACAATTCCAAAATCTTGGTAGTGACAAAAATACCAAAAGTTGTTCTTTTAAGCTGTATAGCCAAGATCTTTTGCTGTAAATGACCACATCCGTTGATAGAAGTCATTTGTAATGACAGGTAAGAACATTTAAGAAAGATGAGGTGGAAGAGGAAGGGTTAGATCCTTCACCTTTTATCTTTGCATTTTTATTTTCATTTTATTGTAATTCTGAGCATTTTGTTGTTCCTTTTGGTGTTTTGGGAAACTGTAAATATTGACCGAGAGGCAATAATAATAACATAATAATCATGATTATAATAATTAATAGTATTAGAACATTTTCCTGTTTCTCTGTTTCATGGGGGCTTTCGTCCTGGGTTTCTCTTGTGTGTCCAGTAACCTGGCGTACACACTAAAAGTTAGGATCTGTACGAAACACAGGAGATGTTTGACTAAATATCACCCCGAGATATTTAAAGCCAGCATCTTTAAATGCATTTGCAAGATAAGGATTTTTTTGTGGAACATTACTTCCAAAAGGGAGATGGAGAAAAGACAGAGATTAGTAGATAAATAGAAATAGAAAGTCTCTGTACTTACTCCCCTGGCTACAATCAGTCATGCTTGCCATGAGGGTGCAGGGTCTGGATGTGCATGCACACTTTTGATTAGCAGCTGACTCTTCTCTGGCTAGGAGTCAAACTGCCTGTAACAAAGTTAGAAAATGCTCTGGTAATGTGCTGTCTGGGGCAATTTGTCCGTGACAGGGTCGCTGAAGGTACACTGGTCCAGACTGAGTGTTATTCAGAGAACTCCAAAGAAAAAAAAAAAAGCAAATTGAAGGATGCTGATGCCTCTCTTGTGAGACAGGTACGGGGTTTCAGTGATCCAAACATGACCCTGTGTGCCCCTTAAGCCTAATAACTGGTTTTGCCACCCTTGGAATAAAAGAACTGCAGTTAAGTGTTTGTAATAACTGGCAATCAGTCTTTCACATTGCTGTGGATGAATTTTGTCCGGTTCTTCTTTGCAGAATCGTTGTATTGCAGCCACATTGGAGGATTTTTGAGCATGAACGGCCTGTTTAATGATACGACAAAGTGTTTCAGTCTGATTTAAATCTGGACATTCAATAACAGCGCTCAAAAACCTTCCTTTTAAAATTTTATTTAATTGTATTTTTTTTCTAGCCATTCAGAGGTGGACTTGCTCGTGTTTTGCATATTTGTCCTGCTGCATAACTGAAGTGTGCTCTTGCATTTTGTATTCACTCGGGTTATTTTTGACCAGCAAAGAAAATTTGTTTAATGATTTGGAAAAAAGCAAAAAACTAAAAAACTAACAAAACATTAATTAATGAGGAATGGGGCGAATCCTTTTTTTCACACGACTTTATGCTTTGTAAAAATGTTTCTCTTAAAATGCTTAAACCAGAATTAACTGAAGATCACTAAAGACATTACAGTTCCAATACAGAGCATGCAACTGATATGGATTTGTTGGACTATTTAGTACTATACCTTACATTACACAAGGACCACCACGGTAAAATCTGCTGCCTGGTAGAAAATAAATTGCACAAATTAGCCTCATTCTAGAATTGAAGGACAACTTAGGCCTAATCTTTGCTCAAATACACCATACATACATACACCATTCAAACTATTGCAAAGGCAATAGATTGTGAGTTGTGAGTTTAAAAAAGCATTAATGATTATTTTGCATGTTAGCACACTTATAAGAAACAAATATCAAAAAACAAATGTAAAAAGGAATAACTTATAGAAAAATGATATATTTGGCCTACAACTTTTGGGAGTCCTCAAGAACTTTTTTGTATTTTAAATCATATTTTGGAACAACTTAAAAAAATAGGTTTGCATTTTGTCTCTGGACGAGTATAATTTTTTTTAAAATGTATGTTTTTATTTTTCTGTGCATGGACTGTTTTCAAATTTACGGGTGGGATACAAATGTTCTGCAACTGTAGAATTAACCATTAATAATCTGATGTACACCTTTAAATACGTGATTCTGTTGCATAAATGGCATATGTTAAATAGCCAATGCAATTCAAGCAACTTTTTTCTGATTTGACACAGAGGAAGTGCAACTGTAAATAAATAAATATTAATGCAGACGGAAAAAGCTGTCTTTTCAGGACAGGTTACAATCCCAGCGTCTTATTTTGGTAACATTCGGAACTCATGCATTTAATTCCGGCTGGCTTGCACTGGTGTGGAAAAGATGGCTGCTTCGGCGGCAACGGCGAGTTCTTTCCCCGGTTTGTGTCCAAATTACGCTGTGATTTGCTCTTTTCTTGAGCGCTACGGAGCGTTGTTGGACTTGCCGGAGCTCACCTTTCCTCAGCTGGAGAGGTATCTGCAGGACACATCCTCAGGTAGGGTAGTAAAAGGTCCCGCTGCTCACGGGGAGGAGGAGGAGGAGAGACTTCACCGCTGCATTAATGATAATGGTAGCGAGCTAGCACGTAGCAGCTAATGTTAGCTGGCTGTGTGTTATTGTGTTGGTTTTTTAACATTCTCCTTCACTTAAATATAACTTAACTCCGCCCTGAAGCTGCCATTCGAGGTGGAAAACACGTCTGTGCTCATTCTGATCGTTATTCAGCTGCAAACGGGCCGAATTATTCGAGGTTTTCTGTCACTTTTTTAGCTTTTGAATTGGGCTTAATTTTTTTCCAAGCAGCCTTTATCTGCCGTTGTAACGTAAAACAACACAACACGCACACAAACATGCGGCCGTGACAGTGCTCGCGAGGCGGTGAACGTGGAGATAGCTCACGCAGCGCGGCGTGGGTTCAATTAAGTGGTCTCCGAAGGTGTCAGTGTGTGAAACGAGCACGGATTTGTGCACTTTATTTACACTTAAAATATTTTGCCTTGTGGTGCTTCGCGCAGCTACCGTCAAGCCACACAAAAACAGAGGACAAATGCGTAGGCGCTTTCAAAATAAAATAACTTAAAGCCTTAGAAACGCAATAGTTTTGCTGGTTACTGCGGAACTATATACGCGATTTTGATGTGAAATTAAATTAACTGTGACTTTTATTGTTTCCAAACTCTTAGCGATAACCACATCATAGAAAACTGTGTTTAAGAATTTCACGGTAATTAAAAATTGTTTTCTTCTTCCGCTCCCGCTGCTAATTGTGGTCGACTTGACTGTTTTTCTTATCCCGTTGCGTCGATTAGCGCATGCGCGTCCTCATCTGAAAGTGTTCCTGATTGAGTGTGTATTAATTAGCATGTGCCATCACCTCGTGTGTTTTAAAAGGACACCACGGACACATTTTTTCTACGTTCGATATTCCCATTAATTATTAACAGTTTCAAGCTCAGTGCTTTTATTTGATTAAAATTACACTTTTTAAAAATATATATACTTAAAAAGTATATACTTTTTCAAATCGAGGGAACAATATATGTTGTTATAAGGATACAGCGTGTATTTGTATTTATCCTAGAGGCCTTCCAGTGCATGTTGGTAAACAGCAAAAGGCGGGCATGTGTAAAGAATAAACTTGTTTTATGGGAAAAACAAAGATAAATAAGGCTCTGTAATGTGTTGACACTGACTCCCGCACAGCGAAGGATAACAGCAAGAGTGAAAGAGAATGTTTACAAGGCGGTAGTGAGACGTGCTATGATCTATGCACTAACAGAAAGACAGGAAGCAAAGCTGAAGGTGCGAAAAGTGAGCAGGATGGGCAGGATTAGGAATGAGTACATCAGAGGAGAGGCACACCTGAGATGGTTTGGATATGTGCACAGAAGGGATAGTGGATATACTTGACGAAGGATGTGGAAGATGGAGTTTCCAGGCAGGAATTAAACAGGAAGACCACAGAGAAGGTTCACTGATGCAGTGAAGGAGGATGTGCAGATGTTCAGTGTGGTTAGTGAGGATGCTAAGGATTAGGTGAGATGGAGGCAGTTAGGCTCCTGTGGTGACCCCTATAAAGAAAGTAGGAGATGAAAATGAAGTATGTCAAATATTAATCCTATTTATCTGCGCATTTTTGACTTCGTCCTACATTTTATGTTAAGTCAAAGGCTTTTTGCTTTGTTTTTGGGTTAGATGGTTTGCTGCAAATGCTCTGATAAATGATTCTTTTGTTGTCAATTAAAACTCTTCATGAGCATCAATCAGAGCGAGCATCTCTCAGACTTGGTTTGATGTAAATATTACAGAGGGGAAACACTTTGATTGCAAAATAATGTTATAAAATAAAATGTATTTAATTAATTAAATGTGAGCTTTTAAAAAATGTAAACGAAGATGAAAAGATGAAGTTAATATCAATAAAATGGGCAGAAGTTCAGTAAGAAAAACATACAAGAATCAGGGTTTTTTCTTCTGCTTTCACATGTTAGAAATTGTCAAAAGGGCCATATTTAGCATGAAAAGCCCAATGGCGTTACATAGACATTGCATACATTGTTGCCTGGCTGTTTTTGTCTGCACTCTGGGTTTTTGTTTTTTGTTTTTTTTTGATCAGCTTTTCCCACGATGCAATAAATTTCATCTCCAGTCACAGCAGCTGATGCTGTTACCGGACAGGTTTACTTGCTTTACGGCTGTTTTACACTCTCCTCAACAGTTGTAGCATCACACCTAAAATGCCTTTCGGACGCTAACGGGTTTCTCTGTTTTATTGTTTCCGCAGTTCCAAAGCTGCTGGTTGATCTTCACGTTAAGTTGCTGAGGAAGATCGGCAAATCGGTGTCTGCAGACAGATGGGAGAAGTATCTCGTCAAGGTAAGCGGTTGACACGCAGCACAAAAGAAAAAGAAGTACCGCCACAGTGTTTTGGCACAGGACAATCTAGAATATTTATTTAACATTTAAAATAAATAGCGCCATATTCAGACAGCTCCTACTCCATCCAGAGTACCTAAAAGGGCTTCTTTCAGGAAGCTGAAATGTTCTTTCAGACCATTTTCTTTCTGTACTTTCACAGCCATTAAGATTAGACACACATCCAACCCCCCGCCTTTTTTTTTTTTTTTTTTTTAAACAAACAGCTTTCCAAAAACGTGCTTTTTAATAGAAAATGCTTCCCACATGGTTAAGCAGATGTCTGGTTTTATAGAGATCATCTGGTTATTTTAAAAAAAAAAAACTTTAACGTTGCAGCATATCAACTTTGGGATCTACTAAACTGGGACTAGGTTGACAAATTTGGAAAATAAAATCCAGTTTAATAATCTGATGGACAGGTTTGTTTTATCAGAGAGACCCATCCTGCAGTAACCACTCTAGGAGCCGAAGCTGTTTGCATGAATAAACGGCAGTAATCCCTGCGCTCAGAGTAGAAAAAGGTACTCAGGGGGTGATGTCAGCAGGTAGCATCAGGGTAGCAGGGTGGGCTCGTAATTTTTGCAAGGGGCCGCAGGAGAAACTGTGGCTGTTGTGGAGCCCACACCAATAAGGTGCTCAATGTTAGTGAGATGTAGATGTCACTGTTAGACAATGAAAATGTGAAGCAGGCATAGTAAAGTCATAATTTAATCAACAACTGAGAACAAAATGTGCATGTTTTTGCAAAATTATAAATATGTTATATTATAAATTATGCAAAGTGCTGTTGCTATTTTTGCTCCAATTACATCTTCTGCAGGTATTCAGTTTTTTTGTTTTGTTTTCTTCTTGTTAATTGAGAGAAAATTGAGTTGTTGTTTTTTTTTGTTGTTTTTTTTTTTGGCTTTAACAAGTGCTTTAAAGTCAGGTGCAGTGTCTGAGGTGTAAATGTGGGCAGGTGACTGTGACTGAGAGACCATCTGTGTCTGGATTAAACTTCATTACTGAGAACGATTGTTCACATATGAAGGCAAATTCAAAGAGAACCAACATCTTTTGAGAAGGTCTCCTTATGTGTAGAAAGTTTTCGGCACCTGCTGTCTACCAGATACAAAGATACCAGTTTCATTTATGGTTTCATTTATTTCTCTTTATATTACATCCACTTCAGAAGGCCAAACATTTTTCCTGTCAGATTTGAGCAGCCATTGGCTGGAACACCTGCCAGTTTGTCCCATTTCAGCCATAGCCCTTCCAAGCAACCGTTTACCTCTGTGAAGAAGTCACAGTCCCTTTCACTGAGTGCACTGCTGCCAGTTCCTCTGTGATCTTAAGACTGTTGCTTACCACATATAGAAAGATGAGAAACTATCCTGTGTAGACAGACAGCACAACTCTCATCCACAGTCAAGGAGAAAAAAGTCACAATAGTCTGTTTTTGTTTTTAAACTGGAGCTCCAGATTTCCTGCAGTGTCCTCACCTCAATCAGTCTCGTTATGGTTCAGCTGGATTGGACACATTCTCAAATGCTTCTTCTGAAAACTTCTTGTATTTCTGGGTGTTTAGTCTCATAATGGTGATTGAAACTGCAGTCCTTAAACCCACCAGTCTGCTGTCCACAGACTAAACTCACAGCTTGACCTCCGACTTCAAAAGTCAGTGTTGTTGATTAAAAAAAACTTTTATTAGTGTATTTACAGTGATGCTGCATTTGCTTACTCACACATGAGAATGTAAAAATAAATGATCAGTCACCTTCAAAATCAAAGCAGTAAAAATGTGTTGTCCTTTCCCACAAAACTGCAAAAAACAGTAAGCCATTCTTTGATGGATACTTATCTTTGAATCCTAATTTCACACTGGCTGGTCAGGGACAGCCAAAAGGCCGAATGTGCCCCACAGGATGTACAATGCCCGGGTCTGCTTTTAAGATAATGTTTTTTAGTAGATTAAAAAAAAAAAAAAAAAGTACAGGGACGGTTAACAATTAAGAAAAAATGAGGGAGAGGAGACAAATGGTCCCAGTAAACCAGCATGTGATGCTCTAAGGTGGTCGCCTCTGTTATTGTTTGCTATAACAATAAAGAACAGTTAAACACAAACATGCAAAAACACATAAGCACAAAAACACTGTGAAATAAAAGAAATGGGCATGACACACATTATGGCAGTGTGTGTTTATATGTAAAATTTATGTTTTAAATAATCAAAATAGAAGTAACACAGTTTTGACTGGCCAACCTCAGCCTCTCACTCTTGCTTTGTGTTTATTTCTCTGACCAAAAAATGTAACCATTGTTATATTAAGACTTGAGAGCCTGAAATATCTTTTTTTTTTCTACTGTCTCAGAAACATGACACTTTAAGTCATCTAAACAGAGGCTCTTATTTATTTTTTACTTTTTGTACTCAAGAAGTAACTGTGTACCCTCTATTAATTGACTAATGTCTCCAGTTTGACTTTTTTCTGAAAATAAAGGTTAAGCATGTGATGTATTTTAATGCCACTTTGTTGTGTTACTTGTTTCCCTTGCAGGTATGTCAGGAGTTCAACACAACCTGGGCGTGGGAACTCGAGCAAAAAGGATACAAGGAGTTGACGGTGGAGTGCAAGACGGGGATACTTAAAGTGAGTTTTTTGTTGTTGGTGGATGTCAGGATGGCCGTCCGGTTTCCTCTCCCCTATTAGATATTATAAATGAACGTTTTCTCCTCCACTGGCCCGCTTTTACACACCTGTGTACATGCTGCAGGTATCACCCAAACATAGACGAGTGGGACAGCTGCAAATAGAGCAAAGTTCTCAAGAAGTCAGATTTAAAGATGTAGGCAAACATGTATTTTAACTTAATCTCCACTTGTTGCTTTGTAAAATAAACCAGGGGTGGGAGGAAGCAGCTAAAAAAGATTGCCTTTTGTCTAGCTCGAGTCGAAGTACTGGTTCTTCCCAGTGTAGCTTCACCAGTTCTCCACCTGTTGAAGGTTCTGGTTGGGGCAGAATGCAGACTGTGGCCACATAGTCAAACTTTCTGTAAGAAGTCCCTGAGCGAATGAAGTGACCCCGAAGTAGAAGCGTGGTAGCCTTTATAAGACCTGGTTGGGTTAATACATAGTGACGCAGTATCAAACTGTCAACGTAACTTAAGTGATTCAGTCCATGTAAATGTTAAATAATGGTGTATTTTCCCCTTTCACACAGGCTGAGGTTTTGCACCTTCAGCTGAACCACGAATATTCAAGTTTCTGCTCTAAAATCTTTTAAAAATATAATTCTGTGCTTCTATGAGGTAGTTTGACTTTGTTTGTGTTTGAATAAACTTTCCTTTATTGGGCCTTTCTTTTTTCTGCAGTATTTGTGTGAGTGTCAGTTTGACGACAACGTCAAGTTCAAAACCGCCATCAACGATGAGGACCCAGATAAAATGCGCCTGCAGCCAATCGGCCGGGACAAAGACGGACAGATGTACTGGTTTCAACTGGACCAGGACAACAACGTGCGCGTTTATGTGGAGGAGCAGGATGACTTGGACGGGTCATCGTGGAAGTGCATCGTCAGGTAAAACGAACAGAAACGTCCTGCAGGTGTGAAATAAACGTTTTTATGTTTTTAAATGTGTGTTCGTCTCTCTCCTTGCAGAGATAGAAACGATTTGGCCGAGGTTGTGGCTCTGCTGAAGACGCAGATTGATCCTGCGCTGTTGAAAAAAGAACAGGAAACGAAGCCTGAAGGTAAAAGAGTTTTTCAGTATAAAAACCAGCAGTTACAATTTTCTCTGGATTGCATTTTTAGTTCAGATTGTTGCAGAAATGTTTAGACTTCATTAAGAACCTACACCTGAATATTTGAATAATAATATCTTTGATCAACATGAGCTGCTGGCATAGCTCACGCTCAGAGCAGTGATTATCACACTTCAGGTGACCTCTCTTGTGCCAGTTGGATCATAATTTTCATACCCCCTTAGCAGCTCCCCCCCCCCCTTGTTTGTTTGTTTGTTTGTTTGTTTGTTTGTTTAGCGCTTTACTAGTCCCTAAGGACCCCAGAGCGCTTTACACATTCAGTCATCCATCCATTCACACACTGGTGATGGCAAGCTACATTGTAGCCACAGCCACCCTGGGGCGCACTGACAGAGGCTTGATGGCGTGGTGTCCATGTGCACTTGTTTCTAATTTAATGCTGGTGTATATACTTTTCTCCTTCATAGGTGTGTCTTATTATCTATATAATTTTATCATCATCATTATCTATATAAATATATAAATTTGGAATTAATCTACTAAAAGTATGGTTTGTGGAGGCCACCATCTTGACGTGCCATCTTGAATACAGTGGCTGTTTTGCTGTTAACGTTTTATGTTTGTTACTAGAGACTGGCCACATGCGTAGTACACCAAAGGTGAAGAGGAAGAAAACTCGTAAGCATAGATATGTATTATCACCTGAGAAGGAGGCCAGCATCTGAGTAAAAGCTCAAACTCATCTCCTGAACTGAAATCAGGGCTTTAAAACAAAACATGCTCGCTTATTCCTGATATTGTCACAGCTATCAGCAGATTAGACCTGTGAGCCTCCCGTCTCTGGTCGTTTGACAATGAGGTGGTTAAACAACAAACAGCAACTGGTTAAATGCTAACGTTATGTCAGCTAATGTCAGGCTGGAGTGTCCTATAAATCGCACCTTACACTTTATTTGCTAAGTATCTGATTCCAGCAATGTTAGATCCAGTGGCTAACAGCAGCTAACCGAGGCTAACAATGGCAAAAACAGCAGCGCGTACCAACAGAAGTTCAGGATAATCTCAACAACTCACCTCAGTATCGCTGTCAGAAGTGAGTTCTGCTGACTACTTGACTTGTATTGGATTTTCACATAGTTTTACGTCCCACAGAGTAAATGGATGAGGACACCAGTCTACTCGCACTTAGATTAATTGAAGCCAGAGTTCTTTGTCCTACAGTGGCCACCGTAGTTGGGATTATGTGCTTAAATGGGAGAAGTCAGAAAACAAAACTCTGTTGACTTTAATGTGCAATCTACTGACACCATTGTGTCTTTAACACTAGATTATCTATGTTGATACATTTCACATGTGCACAATGATAAAGAAATTTAATGAAATTCCAAATGATGTGATGGCTTGAAATATTGCTTCAGACTGTAGAGGCAGAAAAGAGGTGTCACAACCAGAGTAAAGCTTTATTTATAGTAAATGATAAACAGACTGGCACTTACTTTAATTAATCACTCAAAGCTTTTACTACAAGTCTTATTCATCCAGCCACACACACACACTCATACAGCAGTACTGAGCACCTTGTCTAACACTAATGAATGAACTGGGAGCACCTCAGGGTTTGGCATCTTGCTAGTTTAGACATAAGCAGTTTTCTTGTTTTCATAACTTGGATGACAAGTATAAATGTAAACAAGGAAATCTTATACTCCACAAGGATTTAATGCAGTAAAATAATTTAGCCCTGCGACAGACTGGCCTGTCCAGGGTGTACCCTGCCTCTCGCCTGTGGTAGCTGGGATAGGCTCCAGGCTTTTTTTGTGCAAAGTCTTATATGTTGAATTGAACTGAGTATGTCATCTGTTCAAAGCCTCTCCCAGTCAGTGCTGTTCTTTCTGCCTGTCTCACTGTACATGATGTTATTAGCACAAACACTTTAAAATGATCATTTAGGACTTTAACAATAATACAGACAGCAATGTAGTCAAACATCTCAGTTAGTTTTATTGGGAATTAACTTTAACCTCTTAGGCTCCCAGGAGTTTTCTGAGCTTTCTGCTTGGAAATGAAATGACCAAAATAAATGAAGTATTTCTCTGCTATAACAAACTCTGTGTAAACAGTCTGGGTATCAAAATACAACTAACACTTGTGAGATGTCATCAGAGGTGTAAATAAGTTACTGTGACTCAAACATAGAAAAATTTTGTTTTTTTTATTTCACTCACCTAATTTATTTAAAAGTATTTTAAAGCATATAACACCTTTGAAAATATACTTTGGTTCACATTTAACTCCAGAAAATCATAAATCAAAATATGGATATTACCTGTCCACAGATTCATGGTGACGTAGCTGCTCTTTTAACTGTTTGGTGTCTTTGCTTTGTTTGGTGGTTGTAGAAATGGTTTACACGAGCTTTTAGCTGAGATTCAGAGGTTTCTGCGGACACTACTTATGTCAGGACTTTTGACCTCTTGTTATAACCGATTAAACACGATCTCCTCCCCTTTGCCCCCATTTTTGGGGGCGTGGGTGCTTAACTAGTTAAAAACAAACAAACATCTGTTTCCTATTTTTGTGTCATATAGGAAAGAAGCATCAATATCTGATGAGAAGACTTAATTTAGCCTTGCTGTGTATTATTGTGGTGTTTGGGGCAGTTTTCTTGTTTTGTGGGGTGGTTGTTTTTTTTCCCCAAGTGCAGATGAATATCTCTAACAAGTTGATTTGTTCGCGTTGCACATCGTAATTTTTAAGAGAAATGTGTTTTTTGAGTTACACTATATGCATATAAAGCAACCATTTCCTTTTTTTTTTTTTTTTTAATTAATTAATTAATTTATTTTTTTTGTGTGTGTGTGGTGCAAGAAAGTTCATTTAACTCGACTTAAGATGATTTGTTTTAATTTTTACATGGTCTTACTGAGGTGATGCAAAGTGAAACATGCATTCTTTTTTTTAATGTGCTGGAAAAGCTTGAAAATGGACCTTAAAAGTTTTTTTAAAAGTGCTTGAATTTGACCCTGAAAAATGTGCATGAACTCTGTCAAAAGAAACCTCATATTAATCGACATTATTCTACTTACTTTGAGTATTTCAGTACATCAGAGCTCCTAGTAGCCATTTAATCTTTTTGTTCTCTTTTATTGTATTTATTTTGTTACAGGTGAGACCAGAAAGACTGAAGATACATCAGATGAAGACAGCAAAGACTCCACCAAGTCAGTCTCTCCAAAGCCGGAGAGCATTGAAAAAGTAACTCAGAACACGAAATCTGAAAATTCAGAAGCAAAATCTGCACTAAATGGTGTCATTGAAGGTAAAGCGGAGGCAGAGCTCGACTCAGAAAATGTCAGTAAAAAAGCCCAGAACATCAAAGAAGAGCTGATGGAAGTTGTGGACACTAAATCTAACTCAAGTGAACAAACACCGGCCTCTGAGACGTTGTGTACATCAGTAAAGGAGGAAAAAGGGGAGGAACCGAAGAAGTCCAGTGCAGAGGAAATGCAGCAAGCCATGAAGAATGACCAGCAGGCCAAGATCCCTTTGAAAAAAAGGGGAATGAAGTTCAGTGAAGACTTGGATAAAAATAATGCCGTTATAGTGCAAAATCCATCTCTTTCTAATCTGAAGGAGGCTGCAAAAGACAACTCGACTCCTGACCAAGCAAAGAAAGCGTTGAGTATAAATGATCATATTAATGGTGAAGTTACCCAATCAGAAAAAGGGTCACCAGAGCGAGTAACAGAAGCTGTAGAGAAATCTGTCGACATTAAAGAGAACGACGCTCCGACCACCGACGAGGAGGTTAAAAAGGACAAAAAGGACGAGCCACAGGGAGTCGCCTCACACCAAGCGGATTTGGAGAAGAAAACTCAAGATGAAAAGGAAACGGAAAAAAGGGAAACATGCGAGTCTTCGCTGCCCCCGACAGAACAGACACCTTTATCTAAAGAGATAAATAATGCAGCAGAGAAATCCTCTAATCACGAAGAAATGAAAGAATCCAAACCAGCAGACACAGAGGAGTCTTGTAAGGTGAACAAGACAACATTAAAGGAAAGTCATAAAATATTAACTGCTGATGAGTCAGGGAACCTAAACTTAAATCACGAAGTCAAATCCAAAGAAGCCGAATCAAAAGTTTCAAAAAAATCAGAGGAAAAGCTAGACTGCACAGACATGGACACGTCCGAGTCGAGTCAGACTAAAGAAGCCGAGGCGCCCGAAAGTATAACGCACAAGCAAACAGATACGAGTGACTCTAAAGAGACTGGATCATCTGAGGGTAATGTAGAGAAAACTGATAGCTTTGCTCTGGAACAGAAGCCTGAAAGCTGTAAGACAACAGAGACACAATCTGCAGACACACCAGAGAAATCTGTAGACTCTGAAACCTCGGAATCAAAGTCTGTCACTAAAAAAACAAGTGAGAAAGCGGAGGAAACAGCCAACACTAAGGAGAGCGTGGACCAGCCTGTTATCGAAAAGGTCGACAAGTCAGACTCATGTAAAGCTGCAGAGAAGCACGATGGCATCAAAGATGCAGAGATGGCTCCCACAGTCTGTGAGACGAAGACGGAAAAGCCAGAAGACATAAAGAAAACTGTCAACTGTGAAGATGGTACGGTACGTGATGCTTCCAAGATAAGCGACTCTGTGTCTGGGCCTGTGGCTGCAGAGGCACAGGGCGCAAAACTCGATGTGACAAAACCACAAAAAGATGACAAAGCTGAGATGAACTCTGTCGCACAAAAGCCAGCAGAGCAGCCATCTGAAGGGCAGGATAAAACGCCCAGCCCTGTTGAGAAGACGGATACCTCAGATGAAAAACCTGAGACTGAACAAGAGAAGGATTCTGAGAAAAACCCCAGCGCAATCGAGGCAGAGCATCCATCATCAGATAATAAAAAGGATGCTGACAGGGAAAGTGAAAAGGACACTGATAAAGAAAAGCTTTCAAACTGCAAAGAGGACTCCACAGCAGATGAACTCTCAAAAACTGAGGAGAGTAAGGGCAAAAGCGAGGATGTGGACTCTCAAGCGAAAACAGATGTGGCGAATGGCAGTGAAGCTCCAGCAGATGTTCAGGAGGAGGATGTCTGCCGGAAAAACAAGCGCCCAGTCAACCGAAGGAAAGTTGAGCTCCAGCGACAGGAGCGACAGGGGGACTCAGAGTCCGACACAAACGTGGGGAGATCCCTGCGAAGATCACCGAGGATCTCTAGGCCGACGCCAAAGGCAGTAGAGATCCAGGACAAGAAGCAGGAGAAGTCGCATGCGCCTCAGAAGCGCGACGAGGAGAAGGGTGAGAAGGAAAAGTGTGAAGACGAGGAGGACAAGGAAGAGGAGGTGGTGAAGGTCGTTAAGAAGAAGCCAAGAGCGAAAAAGACGGATCAGGAAGGCCAAACCAAACCCAAGGTAAGACCATGCATTCATTCCATGCACTGTATACAAAAGATGGACATAGACACTGTGACATTATTCAACATCTGAAACTTAGAGGTGAATGAGAAACTGAGGGACACTCATGATAGTCAGGAGTTAAGCCCACCCTAAGGTGTAACCTGCTTCATCAGCCTTTCTGACTTTTATTGGGGAATTTAAATTGATGACCATAAGAAAAAATATTAAGACTTGAAATGTCTTTCCTGTAGATTTCTGTAGTAGTGGTTTCTACCTGGTGGGCCATGAAGGTCCTGCAGTCCTTAAACTTGGGAATAACCTTTTTTTGCAGCCAGTGGAGTCGCCCTCTGCTGGCCACCAGAAAGAATGGAGGCTTAAGGTACTGCAGCCATGGCTTTGTCCATCTTTTATGTACAGACTGGTCATTTTCCAGATTGCACAGCTCTATTTTTCCTCCGTTAACATTTTCATTACTGCTTGTTTTAGGCGAGAAAGAGGCGAAGGGTTCGGTGGTCCAACACTCGGACGCGCCGCAGAAAGAAAGACGAGGAAGACGAGGACGAAAACAGCAACGAGGAGTCCAGCGAAGAAGACGAGAGCGAGGAGGAAGACGACAGCGATGAAGACTACAAGGTTGAGCGTACAAGAAAGAGGCGGAACCGTAACCGAGAAAGACGAAGCTCGGACTCCTCGACCTCATCCGACGAAGATCTACCTCCCAATGACGACCCTTGCAAACACTGCGGTCTTTCAAATCACCCAGAGCTGGTGGGTAACATCTGTAAAATCTCACCTGCATATATTTATATTGAAAAGAGACTCAAATTATAACAGCAAGGAGAGACTGGAATATTATCCAGAAAGGTTTTAACAATGAGACTTTAAGGGTGTTATTGAATCAGGGGGCAGTTTTTAGCCGTGAGGTTGGAAAAGAAACAAGTCCTGAGGCTCCTCCTAGTGGGGAGAAGGCAGAACAACGCTTTTTTTTTTTTTTTTTTTTTTTTTTAAAGATGTAAATGTATCCCAACATTTAATGTCAGTACAAATGTGAGAGGAAACTAGGGCAGCTGGGGAGTTTTTGGTTAAAGTCTGAAGCAGAAAAACGCCTCCTAACCGACAGTGATCTCACATAGAGTAGCATCAACGTCACTTTTTGGCAAGCAGGAAAAAACAGCCACTGATTTATTTCCTCATTACTGTAGTTTGATTCTATGGGTTGTGCTAACTTTGCACTCTTCTTTCTTTGTTGAGAGAAATGCTTTTGTTGTGTTACGATCTGCCTGTATCTCTTTCTCAGATCCTGCTGTGCGATTCGTGTGACAGCGGCTACCACACAGCCTGTCTGAGGCCTCCGCTCATGATCATCCCCGATGGAGAGTGGTTCTGTCCACCCTGTCAGCATGTACGTACCAGTCAGTGCACTCAAAATTAAATGTATAGTTAGCTCAGTGTTTCTACATCTGTGGGGCGTCAACGACCGGGAGGAAAAAGGCAGCGTAAACCACAAGTAAATGTGTTTTTAACGTAGATTAAAATAATGCAACAAGAGTCCACTGATGCTGTTTTTCAGGGTTTTTTTAAGAAGTCTTAATGATGGCTTTAAAACTTGTGTGGTGTTTGATATCATGACGCTGAAGTGCAGTTTGAGAGCTACTGGATTAACTAAAGTTCAAATGTATCACTCGCCCCCCCTCTGTAGAAGCAGCTCTGCGACAAACTCGAAGAGCAGCTCCAAAACCTCGACGCTGCTTTGAAGAAGAAGGAGCGGGCTGAGAGGAGGTGAGACAGTTTGTGTTTCAGCTGCTGTTGAATTTAACCGTTTGTTTTACTTTGAAGCCAGTGGTTCCCAGTTTGGGTATGACTTTGAACCATTCCACATTACATACATATTTTTAAGGAAGGTAAACAGTCCTTTAGACGGTCTGCGTTTCCGCTGTGGCACAGACGTAGCAACAGCATCTTCCCACAGAATTGAGTGGAGATGGACAAATATAAATACAATACAATTTGAAAGTAGAATGTAATCAATTTTTGTTCTATTTCCACTCTCTGGTTTGAAATATCTCTGGACTTCAGCAGTGGTGTAACAGGTCTTTCCAGAAAGCAAGAAAAAAAAAGCCTGCACCTGTTAACTGTTAGTTTTTCACCTGGCTTCATTTGGAGCTTGTTGCGGTGGTTTCCCGTTCAGTTGAGGAAGAAGGATTTTGTGAACTTACTTTTTACCTACAGTGACGTAACGTGACAGGAATCATTTGTAAGTCAAATGGTGATTGGTTGGTTGATAAGTGGGCTTGACAGGAAGTAAGCAGCAGTAGAGTTCACCATAAAGGGAAAGCAATTCACAAAAATGTCACAGAGCTGCTGCAGAGTAAAATTTTTTTATTGGTTTTAACATTTAAAGCTAAAACAAGAATATCCCACAGGCATGTTTCTCTGTACATTTTTGACACTGCCCCCTGGTGGTATTATACAGCTGTGCACAAGAATAGTGCACACCCATGGTGTTGCCTTGAAGGTGCAGGACTCCCAAAAACCATTTTATTTCCTGTGCTGGAAAAGATCTCAGTGTTATGAAAATTCTGTCCACTTTCTGTAGATGTGTTTTCCAGCTTTTACTCTGAAATTGCAGCTCTTTAACTAAGCACTGCAAAGCTTTTACAAGTTTGCACTATTTGACAAACAGAGGACACTCGGATTAACTTTTTTGTGTGATCATCTTACTGTGTTTTTCTTCTCCAGGAAAGAGCGTCTGATTTATGTTGGAATCAGTGTCGAGAACATCATCGCGCCCTCTGTGAGTACTTAGTGAGGTCATGGAGTCTTAAATAAAAACAGAAAAAACATTGACTGCTGCTGATGTTTGTGAATGTAAGTGACGCTGAACTCTTTCCAGGTTGAGGTCGAGGAGGAAAAACCAGAGATCATTATCAAAGAGAAGAAAGAAACAAAGAAGAGTAAGAGCTGGGGTCGGAGGTCAACGAGGGCGAAGAAAACAATCAGCTACAGGTACGAGACATACTATTTTGCTGCATGTTCAGGCAACCAGTCCATATCAGTTGATGTTGATGACATCAGTGTTTGTAGCTAGTAGCCAATCACGGATAATATATAATTTCTATAGAGCCGTAGTCATTATAAGAAAATCTTGCCTACTCCACAAACAGTTGATGGCCTGGGTTTGTTGGATAAGCTCGATCTGCCACAGTGTGGGGAGTTACATCTGCCTGCCAGATGTTTTCTTTGGGGGGGGTTTGTTTTGTTTGTTTTGTTTTTTTTTTTACCCTAAATAAATCATAAAAAGATTACCTATTATTTCCAGTATCTAGAAAATAAAAAATCGTAAAAGGTTTTGTTTACTGAAAACAGACCCTGGTCGACATGGGGGTTGCTGAATGTGCATCTGTGTGAGATAAATGTTATCACATCTCTTTTGCTGTGAGCCATTTAGGGTGTTTTCACACCTATAGTCGGTTTACTCTGGCCCAAAGTTTGTAAACTTCTAGCTTTTTCCTTTGATTTGGTTTGTTTTCACACAGAGAAAATTCTACGTTAATGTTCAGTCTGCTTATTGGCCAGGAGTGTCTGGGCTCGACCAACAAAAGTAAACAGGAACAGGAAGGTGCTGTGTTCTGGGATACTCAAGAAAACGGAGAATTTAGGTTCATTTCAAAGCTCGTTGCTAGCCTGTAAAGACCTTTGCAGCTCTGTAGTAGTTTTTTTTTTTTTTTTCTTTTTTTTTAACTCAAACTTGTAATGTACTGATGATCGCAGTCGGATCAGGTTTGCACCATAAACAATTGTGTTGACTTCATTTGAAACTGCATTAATCCCACCCCCTCTAAAAACTCTCCGTGCGGTTGTTTTGGTCAGCACCTGAGTGCGATTGCCAAACCACAGTTTGATTTAAACGGACTAAACGCTGCAGGTGTGGAAACACCCTTGGAGTCAGTCGGCAGTTGGACAGGTGATTGTGTTATTATTGGCAGAGACGCATTTAAATTCTCCAGGCAGCAAAAAATATTCTTGTCTGTGTTGATGTAAACTTTGCAGATTTGATGAGTTTGACGAGGCCATCGAGGAGGCTATCGAAGAAGACATCAAAGAAGCAGAGGGTGGAGGTAGGAGGAGAAGAAACTGTACTGTGTACTTTGCTGAAAATATTTCTGGCTCTGAAGATCAACCCAAAATCTGAAGCTCATTTAACATGTTGTATCCGTCTTGTTTGTAATGCAGAAGAATGTAGCAACTTGTCATATTTACACAAGAAGCGGTTCAAATGTGAAAGATGTGAAGTTTTTAATATAACTGAGGTGTTTTTGCAGGAGCGGGTCGGGGTAAAGATATGGCCAACATCACAGGGCACAGAGGGAAGGATATTTCTACCATCCTACAAGCCGAGGAGGGCAAGGAGAACGGCCAGCCGCCGCGACCCAGCGCCAGCCAGCGCAGGAAAAAACGCCGGCGACTCAACGACCTGGACAGCGACAGCACCGTGGACGAGGAGGAGAGCGAGGAAGAGTTTCGCCTCAGTGAAAGGTACAGTTTGACTTTTGGTTTCCATTCTCAGAAATCTGTCAGTTTTGTTCACCAGACGCTGAACTCTCTCTGCGTTCGCTTGTTTGCTCGGATGCAGCTCAGAAGAAGAGTTTGTTGTGACGGACAACGACACGGAAGCTGAATCGGAGGCCGACTCCAACAACAGCGACTTTGGCAGCAACGGTAGCGGTAGGCATCGAAAGTCTTCGCGGAGCAGACTGCTGACATGCAGACGGAGCTCCAGAAAGCGGCGGCGACCGAGAGGGTACTCGGATGATGAGGAGGACGAGACGGATGATGAGGACGATGAGGATGAAATAGGTATATCTGTTTTACGTTATACTCTTTTTACTTATTCTCTAAAACCTGAAATAAAGAGATTACTACAGGTTAAAAGGTGCAAGTTGTAGTTGAGTTGTCTGCCCCACAGTTTCCAGCCATCCAACCAGAGCATCTTGGCTTATAACCAGAAGCTTCAGACCTTAGATCGCTTCTGAAACGCTGCTATTACAGTACTTAAACCCAGAAATTACTCGCAGAGACCTAACACAAATATTTGAGGTTGGAGCCCCCGGTAAAACTATAAACAAGACTAATGATAAGCTCAACTAGTAACTAGTACACAAAACTGCAAAGAAAGTTAAGAGAAAAGACAAGTGCTGGTACAGGAAAGAGACCCAGCATTAACCCTGCTCTTGATGGTGAGCCTCCTTAGGATGAACTACAGAAACAGAGCAGGTTAAAAAGGGAATGTGTCGGGGTACACAAGCAAGTCAGAATTACAGTTTAAATGTCTGAGCACAATGTCATTTAAAATTTGTTTCTAAGAATATTCCTGCTGCAGGTCATCCTCTGATTTTTAACCGCTTCTTTGTTGTTTTTTGTGCGTTTCTGTGCAGTGACCGAAGGCTCCAGTGAGTACAGCGACAGTGATCTGGATATGAGCCGCCGGCGGTCGAGGCGAAGCCAGAAGAAGCAGGTTAACTACTGCGAGACATCCGAGTCTGAAGGCTCTCAGGCCGAAACCAACCGGGCCAAAACGAAACCCAGACGTCAGCAGGAAAGCTCCGACAGCGACGGTCAGTCAGAAACACTTGAGTGATTGATTAATCTATTTAGATTAGTAATTAATCAGATGAGTTAAAAGTGTGGAGAGCAACTTTGGTTTCCACTAATTTATCTTAAAATATTTTGTGACTTACAGTTAAAGGTAAGAATAAAAATCAAACTTTCAAACTCATTGGGTCTGTATTAATAACAAATCCTTTAAAACAAATACAAAAGTTTGGTGTCTTTCTAAAAAAGAACTTTTTCATCCAGTTTTGATAATATTCAGCAGATTGCAGTATCTAAGCTTTATTAACTCCCTCCTGTACCCATGACATCTCTTTGATCTTAAAATAGTTAAGACCAGAGTCACCACATAAATCACACCAGCTTAGAGACTGGTTCATGACCATCCGGCACACCTGCCATTCACGAGGGAAAACTTCTGTGCAATTGCTTTGGTTGCTTGCACATTTACTGTTAGTAGAGGTGATGGACTTACAAACGGAGCTGCTCTCTGAGCTGTAGTGAAACTCAAAAGTATGACCCAAATCATAAACTGAGAAAGTTGCATAACTTTTACTGCGAAGGCGAGCTTTTACTGGTGACCAGCAGTAGTATACCTCAGTCTCCTTGTAGCCACACCTATGGTATCAATTTTAAAAAGTCTTTTTCTTTCTTTTTTTTTTAAGTTGACCTCTGACCTCTCTGAGATTTTAACTCATCCAAGATTTTTGGTAGTTTAGTTTTTTAATAGTATCAATTTGAAACTCCTATGTGGCCTCATTGTTGATTTGGTGAACAACCTTTTATGGGTGAGGTGTTTAAAAACTGCAGGCAACCCCAGCAATCTCCTAGAAACCAAAGCAATTGTTGGTGCTTTTTTCGGTGCAAAACAGTCTTCGCATCCAATTTCACCCTGTGAGATGGCAGACAACTGTCAAGCAATGAGCTCTTGATGTCATGTGAGAAACTTCATTTTTAACCCTGACAAAGTGCATTCACTTTCAGCACCATGGACAGCGACAGCAGAGAAGTGTTGGTTTAATGCCGTCTTTTAGAGATGAAGCTGTTTCAAACTCTTCCTCAATTGATTTTATTTAAATTCTGACTGTTTGACTGACACACACACACACACACACACACACACAGTCTTATTTCATTATTTGCATCAGTTTTAAGTTGCTGAGTTTTAACTGATTGAAAAACAAAACGCGTAAATGAGGCAATGTTGACGTGAACATGATTGATGACAGCAAGACTAAATGTGACTCTTGTTTTCTCTTCCCAGCGAGTTTCTCCAGAGACTCCGAGGAAGATTCGAGGGATTGGAGGTCGAATAGAATCTCATCGGAGGAAGATTCCCGGCAGCGACGCAGACGCCTAGCGCTAAAACGCAGGAGAGCGTCGGAAGATGACGACTCCGACGAGGACTCGGACGAATCTTCCGAGGAGGATCGACCCATCCGTAAACGAGTGAACCGCATCGACTCGGATGACGACGATGACGAGGAGCAGCAGGAGGAGAAGCCGAAGGATAAGAAAGCAGAGGAGGAGTCAAAGGGAACAAATGCATTGGACTGCGGCCTGGTAGAGCTGCCGCCCGCCAACGGGCAAAGCCCCATAAAGAGCCTCGAGGGTATCATCAACCGGCCCGCTGCCACCATCGCTACCATCACCGCTCCAGGCATTATCCCACATCTGGAGCCGCCCAAAAGCATCAGTGCCACACCGGCTGCTGCCATAGCACCAAACGGGCTGGTGGGGCAGGACATTGCGGCACAGGACGATGACGAAGACGATCTGTTAGGAGTCACAGACCTCGTGGACTACGTCTGCAATAATGAACAATTGTAAAAACAAAAGTGGTGTACTGTTTGTTTGGTTTTTTTTTTCTTTTTTTTTTTTTTTTTTTTTTTTTTTTTTTTTTTTGGTGGTATTGTATTTTTATATTGCTTAACTTTATTATTCCCTCCCATGCCAACAACTCCTCCTCCATATCCGTTTTTCTCATGTCACCTGGAAGCCTGGACCCCACACCTCCAGTGTGACGCTGTCCCCATGGGATCCTGCAGCCAATAAGTCCACCAACATATCATTCCTCATTTGTCTGGAAATAACCAGTTGACCCGCCGAAGCACCGTCGTCCCCCCGGTTGTCGTTACCGTTGTCCTATTTTCAGTTTTGGTTTTGATCACTTTCGGCTCTGAAACTGGGGAAAAAGTTAGTCTGTTTGAAAGCTGAATAACTTTAAAAAAAACAAAACAAATCATTCCATAATTGGCACCAAGTTCTGGACATCTGTTTATCATTTTATGGCTTTTTAAAGAAATGCAATCATATGTTGATTGAAACGCACTTCACCGGGCAGGGTTAGATGAGATGATAGACGCGGCCGTTTAGCTCTGCACAAACACGGCGCGATGAGCTACAAGAAAGCGGGTTTAGCTTGTTAGTCTGCTTTAATTAACCAGCTGGCACGCTGACCTTTCACAGCAGCTTTTAGCACCAGATGTTTTTTAACGTTAACAAACATGCTTCCAACGTTACAATCGACGAAAGCCGGGGCAGTCGTGGTGCGGCACTAATTTAGAGGTTTTTGTTCGTTAATACTTTTAAAACAATCTATGTTTAATTTCCTAAACATGATATTTTCAGTCAAATCCACCTGTGGGCATTTTTAAAGCTCTTTCAAGTTCACTAATTAACCCTTTATGGCCCGTTTGTTGCAGGAGGAGCTTTAGAGGAGCTACAGGTGGATTTTTGGTTTTTAGGCTTTGTGCTGCGCTAACATGAGCTACTGCTTCATGTGAGGGATGTATTTGATAAGTTATTGGTTCTTTCTGATCATATCTGGTGTGTATTTTGTTATTAAACCACGCCCCCCCCTTTTTTTTTTTTTGTCAATGCTAATCAGTCAAATATACCCCCCCCCTTTCATCGTATGAAGGTGTGAATGTATATATGTGACCAACCTTCGTTCGTCCCCCCCTTGAACCTAATTTTTTGTCGTTGAATGTTAGAGTAGCTTTTGTATATTGTATACATATATAATTATTTTAACTACACGCGCACTGCCATCAGCATCAGAGGTTGAACTTTCAGGTTATAGTTTGTTTGGAGAAACCAAATCAAAAGGTGAAACTCTCCTTCCCTCCTGGTCCAGACTAGCCTCTTCTCATCGCTTTCATGTGATTCATGGTTTCAGTAAATCTATTTTTTTGTATATCTAAACATTTATTTGTTGTTGTCTCTTTGAGGAAATGATGTAAAGTGTCTTATTTTCTTTGTGGGTAGAGATGCCTGCAGGTCTTTAGATTTTTAGTATCTTTAAATGGATGAAGGAGTGTTAGGGTTTACATTAAAGAATGGGGTTAAAATATCCAGAAAAAGATCACCTAGTTGAAGCAAAATAACTCCCTGGTTTGACTTTTTAAAAACATCCTTGAATATATATATTTTTTAATGTAGACATAATACTCCTTCGTTATAAACAACACTCGGCTCTGAAAGCCTGTTTTCTCTCTTATTCCTATTCCACTCCCCTGGATCTTCCTGTTTCCTCTGACATGAGCCGTTTCCATAATCCTGAGCTCAGGTTCGGATCAGATCAGGATCATGAAAACCAAATAGTTTTAAAGCGATGTGTCGGGTTGCAGGGGAACGGGGGGGGAAAAAAGGCAAACCAATGACTTCACTGACCTCTGCTGGAACCAGTCTGTGTGTATATCTGTAGTTTTTGCTGTAATATATTTAGAGGCATTTTTTTAACCATGGAAAAATATATCGTGCAATTCTTTGGGATTGCATGAGTTTCTTATAGTTTTCTTTTGTAGGGAAGTAATATTGGCACAACAGTTTTTGTAAGAAAATCGCAAAAAAAAACCTCTGGCATGCTTTCAGGATCTCCTGACCTGGTGGATTTGTGCTGAGGGACTCGTGAAGTAGGCGTGTTAATTTGCAGTGAAACTGCATACGGGGTAAGCATGCGCTGACTTGCTAAAGGCGTGTTACAGAAGCTCGAGGGGGGAAGAACGGGACGTCGCCGTGGAAAATAATCAAGGACTGAGAGGGAGTGAAGCCTGTTTGTAAAATATTTTGTAAATTAGTCTCAGCATGGTCTTCAGAGGATAAACCACTATTTATCATACCGTTTTGATACTGGCCACGGCCAAAATGACTTCCAAGACAAAAACCTATACGTGCCGCTTGCACAGCATAGGCGTCTATACACGATATTTAGCTTTTAGATTAGCTGGGCAGAATATAGAAACCCGGTTCTACAGACGTAACGGAGGTGCGTGTCCTGGTGGGTCGAGACAGAGCAAAGGAGTGTCTGTGTGCTGTGTGTAACCCTGTTTATATTCTCCACAGAGATAAGGAGAATGTATAAATGTGTATCTCATGGTTATGAAATAACCCGTAGCGAGACCTGCATAGGGATGGAGAGAAATAAAAGCTTAATAAAGAGAAAGAGGAGGTCGGTGCCAATGACTGAAGTGTTAACAGTTTCCTATTTACCTCATGATGAATCTGGGAGGAAAGACACCCTGTCCACTGTGTATAGATCCTCGTAGACTGGTTGGTGATGTTTTGTCCGCTCCCTACATTTTTTTTTTTGGTTAACTTTACTGTTATTTCTTATGAATCCGATCTTGTACATTTGTCATAATAAAATGGGTTTTAAGCCTGATGTCGACTGTGCTCGTTTTACAAATGCAAAACATGCACAAACAGCTGACCCTTATAACGCTTAAAATACATAAAAACAGGCTAGAAACGAGTTGCAGTTGCACCCTTTGTTGTTTGAGCTGCCAACAAGACATGAACATGTACCAAAAAGCCCTTGACCTCCCTGCCTCACAAACGCATAATAAATAAATACTGAGCCCACCATAGAAAAACATTAAAAACTGAATTAAGGAAGAAGAGACTCCCTGAAAACATTAAATAACTGCAATAAAGCACAATGTATAATAAAGCAGTCTAACCCTGGAGTGTTTATCGAACCTTGTGGAAATTTTAAAAAAGTAATTAAATATAAATTTGCATATATGAGCTTTAATTTGTCATTTTTGCTACATCTGACATTTTATTGTTTAGCTTAAATAAACATTAATATATAAAGGGGTTAGGGTCAGCTCTTCAGGATGCCTTTTCCACAGACGTAGGTCACAGTGACATAAATTGTCTCACTGTGGGTTTTACCGCTGACTTTGGGGAAAATTAAAAGCCCCGACCTGGAGGTTTCTGGTCCTAAAGTGCAGACGACCAAGGTTTAAAAACAGCTTTGTTAAATCTGTTGTGTTGACGCTTCTAATAGGCCCATAATATAAAAGCAGTTCAGATCCTTCACATGACTGTCACACTATTGACTATTTTATGTATTTTATGACTATTGCTCCTTTTGTCTTTTTTTGCGAGGTGACCTTGGGATTTTGAAAGGCACCTTCAAATAAAATGTATTATTATAGTTATTATTATTATTACTAATTATAATTATTCCATCTCCAGCTTGAGTCACTTTCTCTTAAACAGGAAAGGCTTCTGAATCAGCACAGATGAGCGTACAGATACTTCACAACTTCTCCCAAAATTCAGAAGTTCTTTATCAGAGAGTTTGGGAGCTCTCTGAAGATCCCCAGTAATTAGACGGCACAGCTGCAAATATTTGGTGGTCTGGTTTGTGTTTATGCATTCACTTGCCGACCAAAAGATCACCGGATCAATAGCAGCCAGACACACAGATCCTCGTATCTCTTTTACATAATAAAGCATGAAAGTCCACTTAAAGCTCAGAGCCACATAAAGCTGCTCGTCACCATCGTAAACGCTGCTGAGATAAAATAATCTCTCGTGTCATGAGAGTGAGGGTCAGAGGAGTTTGTTGCGGCTGTGAACTTTAGCACCACTCTTCTAAAACGGCACACTGTGACATAATCTGTAACCACGTCAGCAGGAGGAAGTTTGTTTACAAACCATCGAGCACGTGCCGCTCTGTCAACCAAGCAGCAGGTCTAAAGGAACGCCGTGCATTCGTTTCACAGGCTGAGGGGCCAAAGGTCACATGTTTGTCATCTGTTCTGCGCTGACGATGATCCACGCTGAGGAAAAACGGAGACGCTGGTGTTGGGCATTTGTTTGGAGAGTGTGAGACGCCTGAGGAAGAGGAGGAGGAGGCGGAGGAAAGGACACAAAGGTCGTGTTGTGTAACCAGCACCATGTGAGCCATGGTTGGGGGGGTGGGGGGATTTTATTGGATCTCCGTTTCTGATAATCCAAACCTCAGAGAGAGATTAACCGTCACTTGGTTGTGTGTTTCACTGATGAAAAGACCCCAAATGACACATTTACTGTATGTATGATATATAAACTACACTACACACATTCTAGGCAGTTTTTGTTTGGCTAGTCTTTGTATTTATCCTCAAATTGGATCTAAATGACTACAATTCCTCATCCGAGGACCCACGAATGTCTGCATGGAAACTTCCCTGCCACCTTCCAATAAAAACACAGCATTTAACATTTTTCAGACATATTTTTAATCAAAATACTTCATTTAAATTACAACATTATAGAAAACCACTATACATTTTGTTCACAGACAAATGTTTTTAACCACATTCTTATTTAAAATAATTATCCCAGTTTTACAATCAGAAACTGGCACTGTAGGAGGTTTTTAAGATCAATCGTCTTTATGCACAGAAACTTCAGATTCAGTGTTGTGCCCCAAAAATAAAATACCAAAGTCCCACCAGCACCACATACAGTATAATTCTAGCACCTGAACCTTTAAATATAGTAAACTACCAGACAGACGCGTTAACGAGCCAAACGTGAGATTAAACCAATAAAAGATCAAAGGTTTAGTCACCCAAAACCAACCATCACCATTAGCATGTCCTACAACTGAGGTCCAGTTTTCTTTAACATGCTACATGAAGTAGAAAAGCAAGACATCTGAAGGTTTAAGGCTTTGAAAACATGGTTAATAAAACCAAACATCTGCAGTCCTTTTCTCCAACAACACCCAGTTTGGCAATAAGAGTGAATTAAACACTTTTATAATGTTTTATGGCATTTGGAGATTGTACGTGGCTGCATGTGTCTTAGATTCTTTCTGCTGCTCTCTTATTAACGAGAGATTGCCACAGCTGATCCATACACAGAATAACCTTCCAGGCACAACCTCAAATGGATTGGAGTCTTCTTCTGGTCTCGAACTGGGGATCTTTCTTCACACCTCTGAAAACATGTCCTGATATCAGTAATATCAAGCTTAAGAAAAGCTTGGAATGTGGCTCCCGCAATCCAGAACAGACCCAGGCTATTGTACTCCTAATGGCGTGCCAAACCAAAATAAATGGAAGGTTCGTGCAAACCGGATCCATCCGCTGTGGTGACGCTCATGGGAAATAAGGGAGCAGCATAAATAATTAAAGTCATGAATCTACCAGACTGCATAGAGAAAAAGATACATTTTAGTAGGTGCACCAGCACACCTACTTGTTTGCATATTAACCACTTAGCTGCTTGTGCTTTGTCCATATTTTTAAAATCGGTGCACTTCTGTTGTTCTTCAGCTTCGTCACATGTGCGATGACATAAGCACAAATATACATTCAGCTTAATAGTGCATACATTCATCATTGTTGTGCTTATGACAATTTTCACGTTATTTTTTGGCAATACTTTAAATATTTGTGCTTAAATCTTAAGACTAAGATTCATGAAAATAACTATTGATAAAAATGGCACTAACCGTGCATATCCAGGGCTGTTTTCCTGTTAAATGTAGGGCAACTAGAAAATTTATGCTTTTTGGTAGCTGCAGTGGTATTATAGCTAACATTTAATTGCACATGAAGAAAGAAGAATTAAGATTTTAGGTCAACCTTAAGACACAGAATGCATATGTTATTTTTAACATTTAAAATAGTGTTTTAACAGCAGGTTTGAGCCTCTGTATGAAGCACATTTGTCATCTTTTAGTGAGAAACTGAAGCCACTTTTGTGTTCTGATTAGCTGCCAGCTTTCTAACAGTGTATTTGACATCTTAGCTGACATTTGCTGTTCAGTGACAGTAAAAGTGCGTTTTACCCTGACAGTACCCACACATTACAGTGTGTATTGTTTTTTTATGTGTTCACAGACATTTTGAAGGTGAGGCAACCCTGCAGTGCAGCATTAATAACAAAAGAAAAACAAAAGCTGGCTGCGCTGCTGTTGTCCGTTAAGACATGAGGAATAAAACAGGCACGGCTTTTCCCCCTCGCACCTACTGGGTCTTCTTTTTCTGGATGGCAGGAACGTCCAGCCCAACGGTACTCCCACCAAACAGGAAAGGGATGATCTTCTCAAACAGCAGGATGCAGCTCACCACGCCTGCACACACACGTTAGACACAGGAAGTTATTTTGGTAACAACAAGCAGACATATGTCAGGTATGAGTCGTGCATTTAAATGACAGGCCAAGCTTCTTTATTTAGAGGACAGTCATCCTAATCGAACCATGGAGTAGCTTGTAGAGCAGGTCGGTCCTGAGCGCTTAGTCAGTTATCTTATTTGCCGAGAGTTAGAAAAGACAACAAATACCACACTCACATCTAAAAGTGGACATGAGATCATAAAGAGTGGACTCCAGTCTGCTGCTTACCTAAAACTGGTCCCAGCCAGTACACAAAACAGTACTCCAGGTAGGTGTGGCCGCTGCAGGGGAACTGAACTGAGAAGGCCAATACTGGGTTGAAAACGGCTCCGGAAATCTCTCCACCTGCACAAAACAAAAGATGGAAGAATAATTAATTTACTTTATGGGCATGGAACCATCTGCACTTTTAACCCACACGCTGAGGAGGGTAAATATGCATGCTTGCTGCATTTAATAATTGCACTTTTGCAAGAACAAAGGCTGACAGGATGGTTTAAATTCTGGATTTAGTAGGATTGTGATCAGTATTTTAGTTGTGCCGTTTAGATCTTGATTTCTTGTGGGTCTATGTTGTGGTTCCCAGGACAGTACAATGTTTCTGACAGAAACCATGGAAGGGTGATTGCCAGTATTCATGTGCAGGATTGTTCTTAACATTAAAAAAAAAGAAAAAAAAGAAAAAAAAAGTTTTCCGGGTCTGTGCGGTGTACGGGGCACAAACTGTGACCCTTTCTATTTAAAGGGGGTTTCATTTACTTGTTTAGACTTGTGAAGAGTAGGAAGTGCCCCTCATTAACACACCTGCATAAACTGCTGCCGTTACAACAGCAGCGATGAAGTGCACCTGGAGTCTTTCGTCCAGTTTGTGGACGTGCATGCAGGCAGCCTGGAAAACGAAGGCGCAGGCCAGCTCCACCACCGCGGCCTCCAGCAGCGTCCCGCCTAGGGGATCGAAGCACCTGAAGTCAGTGCTCTGGTGCTGCAGGTGAATGTCGGAGAGACCCTGCGACCACACGGAGGCGACATAAGACTGCGAGGCGACGGCAGCTGCGAATTGGAGCATAATGAGGACGCCGGCCGCTCTTAAGCTGCGGGTCCCGCGGCACACACTCTCTAGAGCCGCGGTGGGGTTACAGGTCGCGTCCTGGAAAGTTACCAAGTGGACAAGAGTCACCGTGTAGGTGAGAGCCAGGCCGTAACTGAGCTCCAGGTGGGCCGAGTCTCCCAGCAGTTTGAGTTCATGTGTGCAGCAGCAGAGCTGGAATGTGGACGCCGCCTCCAGCAGGTAAATCCGGTAATCTCTCGGGAACACACGCGCTGCGGAGCGGATCAGCTCGCTGAGGAGCACCGAAACCCCCAGCACCGCTACGGAAACCCACAGGTAGGTCATCTCCCGGCTCTTCACTGCCCCACACGGTCTGACCTCAATGCATAAGCCGCTCCTCGTGACGGGGGCAACTTTCAGGACTTATCTGTCAGAGTAAAGTCTACTTGATCCACGCTGCTGCGTCAAGGCGCACGGATTGAGACCGCCTTCAAAATAAAAGTGGGGATTTGAATGCCTGATAATTAAAAGTATTTAGAGTCAAAATACTTAAGTGCCAGCGAGACACCGCTTTCTTCCACATGTTCAGTCAGAATATAAGCATGAAAAAAAACTCCATAGAGGTGTAAAATGTTTTCGTGGTAAAAAGAAATAGATAAATCCACAGTGACTTTAAAGGCCAACTACTAAAAGTGGGCAATAAATGGGGAGCTGCAGTGATTGGCGGGATTACTCACAGCAAGCATCCTTATCAAACCGGTTACAAGAGTCAGCCTGAGGGCACTTTCACTTTCAGTTTGTAATTCAATGTTTTACAACACGCAGTTCTAATTTACTGTATTATTCTTTAAAAAAAAAAAATCTAAACAAAGGAAAACCGGCACATACCTGTGACAGCATTAAAATCTGTATAATGTAAATGCAAAAAATAATGGGGTAAAAGCACAAAAACACAGAATATTAATTATAAACACTGTAAAACATGACTGATCTCTGTATCGAGTCTGTTTTCACCGAGTCTCTCTTTAGATATGATGCAGTCACCATTTCTCCCATTCAAAGCTCAAACGTGGGGACAGTCTTCTTTTGCTGCTGTAACTTTTTATGCAGTTCATGTTCCTGCTGATCACACCACACATGCCTGTAAAGGCACATAGTTCCATGCTCTTTCTGTAAGAAATGCTTTTCCAATATGTGGCGAGGTTTTGTACAAAACCAGAAAAATGAGTCACATTACCAGCAGCAGATTTAGTTTTAGTTAACTATACTCACACACTGCTCTGGCTTCCTTCAACAGCCCAAAGACACGAATGTTAGCTTAACTGGTGATTCTAAATTGGCCCTAGACGTGAATGTGAGTGGGAACGGTCTCTTTGTTGGCCTTTAGATGGACTTTTGCAAGTCAGAATTTTTGGATTAATAATGACATTAAATGTCCACCATTTTGGAGGGCCCCGAGTGCCAAAACGAATTAAATAAACGTATAATTACATATTTAATAAAATGCGTCAAATTACAATGGGAAATTGATTAAATATATAATTATGATTCAATAATTTAATTAAATATTTCCAGTTTTAATTGATACATTTAATTAACAATGTATTTGTTCATGTTGGCACTCATAGTCCTCTGTAACTACGAACTGGTCTGTTCCTTATAGCGCTTGACCCATTTCTGTCTACAAAGTGTTAAATAACAAAAACAAAACAAAAAACAGGCATGATTTCATCCACTAACAGGCAGGGTGGAGTTACTTCAGCTGACACAGTTAAAGGTGGGGTGCACCCCAGACCTGCTGACTATTAATTTTCCTGTTTGGCCTAGAGTTATTTTTAGTGTCCCATAGGAACCCATGCTTTTTTTTGAAAAGTCAAATCAGGAATGGGGAGGTAAATATTTTGAAGGGCTTAACATTTGACCTCGCTACCAGTGAGAAGTTCAGGCAGAGGCATCAGAAATCAGACAGTTCATTGAAAACCTGTTCTGACAGGTTTTAAACATCATGCAGGTGTGTGCACATGAACTGTAGCAGGAGAAAGGCATTGGAGCACCTTTCATACACCCTGTGCTAATATCCAGGGTGCAGTGGTGGTGATCCTCTACATGTAGAGGGGGGAGTTCCATGTTTTATGGATATGGTGTTACTGTGTAAGAGAGAAGTTTTCAACAGTCATGAAAACTGGTTTTCTGTTTGCACAGCATCCTTTGACCTATATTAACTGGTCACTTTAGTAGGTATACCACGTTAGTGCCTGGCATAGACTCAGCAACGTTCTTTGAAACACACAGATTCATCAGGTGAACATGCACGATGTTAATCTCCTGTTCCCCATCCAAACAGGTCAGTTCTGATCCTACCATCCAAAAGTCACAGCAGAAATGGAGGCCCATCAGATCAGGCAACATTTTTTGTCCAGTGTCGGTGAACTTGCCTTTGAGCTTTTCTTTTTGCTGGCGTGGTCTTCTGCCGCTGTAGCCCCTCTGCTTCAAGGTTCTACATGTTGTGCATTCAGACTGTTGTCTTTCTATTGGCTCAAAGTGGTCTGGCCATTGCCCAGAGAGCTGCCACTCACTGGATAAATGCCAAGCATATCAGCAGGTTCTGAAATACTCAGACCAGCCTGCCACGTGTAGTCACCTTTCTGCCCCATTCTGATGCTTAGATTGAATTTCAGTAGGTCCTCTTGACCATGTCAATGTAAGACTTGCATAGATGAGATTTAAGTAATAATTCTATCCAGCTGTGCTTATCTCTGTTTCAAGGAGTGAATGGGTTCAATGCAGAGAGGAATTTCCCCACGGGGATCAATAAATAAAGTATACATTATCAATATTTGCCCCCAGTGTTCCCAAAAACACTGGATAATTGCTAATGCAATATAAAAATGGAGTACACTGACATTGAGATGTAAGATTTGCATAATAAGTAATAATTCAGACAGACAGTAATAATATACCGTCTGTCTACATCCCTCTATCCTTTCTCCAGCTCACGTGGTGAGCTGTACTTCGGTTTTCTGTACTAGCTCCCTTTACAGGCCTCCTGTGTCCACAACCATAATGCTCAGCCACAATCATTGCCCATTATACTAATTAGTAACTCTGTCAGTTTTGGCCGGCGGTCATAGGTTCTGTCCAATAACATGACGCGAGACTGGAGTAAAAGACATCCATGGATTGGCACTTTATTAAAGAAGGAGCATGATAACAGCACAAACACTAACTACAACTAAACAAAATGGCTTCCTTTTATACTCTACCTTTTCAGGTGAGCATCAGGAATAGCCCAAGTATGGGGGTTAACTAATCAACAAGAAAACATAAC